TTATACTCCTTGAAATACTACACCGCGTGTACGTCAATTTCTTCAGTAATGGTGTTCAGTTAATTATTTCGTTATTCTTCACAATTTTATTTTCTCATTGCGTCTTAAAAAACAACAACAATACTTTGTCTATGACAGAGGTAACAGCTGATGAGACCACACACGGTGACGGCTGTGAAGGTTTGTGAGGACAAAATAAATGTGCATCAAAATATATGAAATATTCACCAAATGCAAATTAAATCAGTTTTCCTTTTACCAACGAATTTTATCGAATAAAATATTCATGACAACTTTTTGACAAAAAGTTTAAAAAGTTCAGTGCACAACAACCATAAAGATCTCAAAAGGAGATTTAACCCATAACAAAAAGTTACCCCGAATTTCAGAGCATATCTTACCTTCAATGTTACACAAATACACAAAATACACAAATCAAAATAACCTACTCTAGCAGCAAGCGAACAAACATATTCATTTGGGGTGTTTGCAATATTGAAACCCCCAACCGTGGACTCTACCGTCTAACTTCTTTTTCATCAAAGCGAAATTCTCAGAGCCGGAACGGCAACCAAGCAAAGTATTTCAAACACAGGGAAGGAACAGCGGTGTATAAGAGCGGTTCTTTAATGTTGAATCTGGTAGTAGCGATTTCCATGGCAGTAGGAAGACTCGTCATAAATAACTCCAGGCTGCGCTAGAATCCCTTTGGTTGCTCATGCGTGAAATATCTCTGCCTTTTCTACTGGTTTGACTTATCGCCATAAGTGATACAACAATACACGAGACATAACATCATTTTGCAAGACGCGATGTCTCTTTAACGCAATGTACACGCCAATAATCTGTACGATTTTAAAGTCTAAAGTGAACGAAACTTTATGGGAGTTTGTATTAAAAGTTCGAAAATTTCTACAGATAATAAATGTACGCTTCTTCTATCTGATTTTGTTCTAAAAAGCAGTGTAAAAGTTATAAAAAGTTTATTCTCGGTTTTATAACGTGATTTGACCCCCCAAGGTATGAGAAATGGGTTGGATGTTTCTAATGCATTAATCACTCTGAGGTCAAATGTTAAAATGAAAAAAAAATCTAATTAGTGTAAATACTTCTATATTGACGCCTCTGTCATCAGAATTACAAAGGCGTCCAAATTATCAATACTCTCGGAGAGTCGCTGTTAGGGTACTCTGAAAGAATCTATCAATTCCCGTACAAGGGGCGACATTTTTTTCATCAGGATTCGCCCACTCCAATAACCGAGGTCAGGGGTCTCGAATTAAAAGAGCCCGCTAAAAGAAACCACTACAGTTTTTACATTAACACAAGTATCCGATACCACAAGCTATTTCGTTTGGTTAGAAGAACAATTTTGCATTGGTCATTCTGGCCAAATAGATTGATGGCACGTCGGCGCGTTCGTTGATTAGCCGACATTTCACTCGTTCGGTAGAGGGTTTGGCCCGAGCACCAGGCACGCTTCGGCGAAATAACACTCTTTGAAAAATGTATTTTTCGTGTAATAACAGTTCTTATCGAAAGTGGAGCGCTATACAAAAAGATAGCCCGATGAGTGTTGTCATTGGCCCTAATGAATATAGACGAACGCTAGCACGAGGAGCCACGCGGGTGAAGCGAAGCTATTTGCCGAACTGTGAGACACAATACACCGCCATATTGGATCGTCTAGCGTGACGTCACTGTTACAAAGTAGGCCTCTCAGTGAAGGGGTTTTGCAGTATATTACCGCGGTTGTATCTCGCCCGGCCCCCACAGTGCATTGTGTGCGTCTATTTACCAATCTTTAGGCGTTGTATTTGTACGACAAATATGAATTAAAGCTCCTTTTCATACTTAATCCGCGATCGGCTTGAATTCAGATGTCCTCATTGTTATCACACATGGTGACTGATTTATGAAATAGGCTTATAACATCAAAGGGAGGGTAGCTTCGCCAATGAATAGCGTTCGTTGCCAGTAAAGGGCTTCCTTGCTAACTAGCGATCTCACAATCTGAGATGGGATGGGCTGATCTGAGTCTATGTAAGTTTTTCAAACGATTTTTGTTAATAAATAATTAACGATTCGAGCCGAGGGTCGAAATCAGCGCCAAACGGTTCATTTATCTATATTTGATTGTATGTGTTAGTAGGATGTGATACAATTGAATCTTTTAGCACTTAACACCCAATATTTCAACGCGTATGTACAGCTGATGTGTTTAAATGCAACAGAACATTAGCGGGTGCGAGATTAACCCCACAGTCCGTTCATTCATTCACATGCTAACGTTTCTTCTTGCTAGTATTATTAGTATAATGATATCCAATTGCATTTTTATTATCATAAAAATATTAGCTTTTTTTTAAAACAATATGTATCGGAATAATATCTTTGCAAAATATCAATTTCTGGAGTAATTAGACTTCAATTTGATTTAAATTTGTAAACGTTTTTAATTTGATTTTAATCGTTGAAGCGATTCCTGTTTCTACATGGGAAATACCCCCTCACACGAAGGCTCTGATACCAGCATTATCGCAAGGATAGGGTCTGCTCATATCTAAATGCAAATCTTCACTTTGTGTGAGGCGAACGAGATTCAAATGGATGGACTTTTTATAACTATGTGCTTCGCAGGGTATGGCAATTTATTTAATCCAGAGGATGATAAATTCTTTTGCTATATTTCTACTGATGGGGCACGGGGGTTTCTGTACAGTGACACCTCAAAGATATTTTGAAATATTTCATTAGCGAGCTTATATTTTAGTGGCACTTAACTGCTATGACATTTGGGCGATTTTATCGTGCAGTTTTAGATGTGTTTTGTGCGAGAATTTATTTGAAATGACGGCGAGGTGTGTGGGATTCATTCAGACTATATCATAATCATTTATCATAACTAACACAACTGATGCATGTATTTTAGCATCTTTTAAAAAAAGAAGAAAGTATACTAGTCATCTGCAGTTTCCAAAATACGTGTGTAACTTTTCTCGCAGGGATATTTATAATGGTCTGGTTTTGATATGACAATTTTAATTTGTGCTTCATTCAAATATCTGTAAAACATCAGTTCAATTTAGTCAGTATCAAGAACCATGTTTCTAACATTTTATTTTGTGATTACAATCTTCGTCGTAATACTAGTGATAAATTTCGTTTTAAAGGTTAACATTTAATCTAAAATTAGAAACTTTTCGTTTTCTTGAGAATTCTTCTGGTCGGTAATTTCTTCCGCAAATCCTTCTCGATAGGTTCTGGTACCAGAAATTGAAATGTATTAGTTTCAAGAAAAAATGTCAACAAAAAGTCAAAACCTAATCTATTTCAACTAGTTCCTTGAAAGGCAGGCAGCACTTCATTACTTCGGAGAAATTGACATTTCAATTTCATCAAAGAAATTAAGCAAGAACACTTTTCTCCAAAGAAATTCAAATTCGAAGCTACTGTCTCACTACTTTTCAAGCGATTTGTTTTCAACGACATATTTCGATAAGATTAATGCAACTTTTTCCAATGGGAAATTTGTGGCAGCTTCTGCGCTGGGTTTGGGTGAAAAATAATTGCTTTAAACTGTAAAGTTGGAACTTTTCGAACCATAAATCATTTTGCTGAGCGATTCAATTTTCGTCGATACTTTCACCCTTTTCAGGCGAGAATGGATATAAAGCCTGTCTCTTTTTCCACTTTTATGTCTCTTCGGAAATATCCTTAAAACTTCTGAGAGATTGTTGATAGTTTTTGTACCGTCAGTCGTTTAAGTTTTCGAGAAGAATTTTCCCTGAACAGCCTCTCGGTCTGTACACAAAACGTCGCTGATTGACTATACAGTTCGTGAGAAGTTGTAGTCTGTTTTTTCGATCTCAGCTCTGTTGTTCGAGAGCCTTATCATGTGTGTTACATTTTCCAACTGTCACTTCAAAGGACCAAAGTAACTGTAGTCCGAATAACAGAAATGCCCAAAATTTCTTTTACTCATTATGCGGCGTTTCCCGACACAGCAAAATGGGAAGCGTATTTATGACACAGTACCAGAATCTTTGGTGCATTTGCCGTAAAATTTTCAATTTAAAATATCAAAATTTCGTTAAAAAAATATCCACATGCACATATGTGCGCCAGCTGTACGAGGCCAACCGGCCCGCTGTCGGGGAAATGCTGCAGCACACACGTTGGTCGTAAAACGAACTCGGGTCTAAAACGGTACTTTGATGTGCGGCATTTCTCTCTTGAGCCCAGCAGTAATTTTCTGGTATCTACAACAGAAAATGTATTCCTGTGCTATTTTTTAATATATATACGTCGTCAGTTTCGAGACACGATGATCAGTTTTATTCAAACGTTTACAGCTTTTTATACGTCTAGTTTGATGCCAGGGCGCTTATGTCAGAACGAACATAAAATATGGTGAGTTTGTCCGCAATAAAAATCGAATACTTGTATATGGATTTTTTGCTGTTTCTGTTATTGCTCCGAAACAGCTGTAGAAAGCCCGAAAGACCGTTTCTGTAGGCATACCTATAAACAGAGCACATGGGAATTTCATTAACAGAAAGACGATATCGTCGACAGTAACACAAACAGATTACTTCCAGCACATTAATTGCATCACATTATATGCTTTGATTCAGAAATATAATTTATTATGTGGTGATTCGAGTGGAATACCAGAATTAAACAGCGAACGGTGTTTTTTTACCAGATTTGATGAAATATAAAGTTTTCGTCAAAGATACAAGAAAAAAGTTTGTCAAGTTGACACATGCAGCCACATGCCTCTGTACAGAATGCCTACTTATTTAATCTATGTTATTTTTTTAATGAAAATCTATGCTAGACTTTCTGTATTCAATCACATAGAAAGCGTTCACGTTAGTCACCAAATGGTTTCATACTGTATTTGTATAATTTACATTCCCAGAATTACATCTATTTCAATATCAGTGTAATATATTCTATCATACAACCCCCCTCCCGATAAAGTCAGTTTTTTACTCAATTTCAATACAATGTTAATATCAACAACAATATTAAACTGCCAATCAGCCATCAAGGTCTGTCAACAGCTTTGGAAAATAGACAAAAGAATCACAAAATGAATACCACTATTCTTCCAGAATTCCGACGTATTTCATGATTTTTCATCATACGATCTCCATGGCATGTTGTATGCAATTAGACACGCTTATGCTCCAAAGAAAATCAATCATATATTAGTAATCAGTAGTTTTTAATTTGAGGCTTTTTGTATCACTAAAATGAAATGCACTCTGCCGCTTAGTTTCAGAGAAAACGTCTCAAAAGAAGAATATAATTTAATAATTTAATGCAAAATGTAAACAGCGATACATACCCCAAATAAAACATACTGTGGAAATCATTTTTGTTCGGAAATGAGACTGAGTGTTGTGATGAAAGAGACACGAGCTAACACCACGGGAACTGATCGCTGAACAACATTTGCCATGAGAAATCATAAACATATTCATGCTTGTACATTTCAGCTAATTGCTAATATATGAATTACTCTAAGAACTAAGAATACAGGTTGTATTATTAGTGCTTTGTGTTGAACAAGAATTACAAACACAGATAAATACATCTATATTTAGAATTATTTCCTAGATGTATCATGAAATAGTTTCAAAGTTCTGATAAATTTTACTTTAATTAAATTCATGATATATTTGTTCATGTCAATAGTGGTATTTAAAACTGACATTGAAATGCATTACGATTACATTGAAATTGACATACCTCTGTTTCAGTGAAATTTACCTTTACTTGTCCCTTTAGCCACGCTTAAGATGCATTTGCCATGTTGCTCTGAAATTGACATGCATATATTTCAGACATGTTTACGTTTTACCTGAGGAAGCTGCACGATGCTCGCGCTCTGTTAGTTCATACTGTATTTACCCTGTTGAACCGAGCTAGTGACGTCACGCAACACTGTTCGTTTCTGAGGGTTAATAAAGTATGTTCAATATCATCACCATGGTAACCAACATTTCCAGGGGCATCGCATGATTGGGTTAGATATTGGAGCAATCTTCTACAGGCTTGTCTGTACTTCATACGCTTGCCTAGTCACACCGAGCGGTTCGAAAACACACACATACACACACACGCGCGCGCACACGCTTCAGCACCTGCTCAAGAAATGCCCAGGAATACTAAAATGAATACCTTTTGTATTTAGATTTAATGCAATTAACATCTTTATTTGATTTATTATCACTAATAATCATGTGCTTTCGTTCATCAATCTTTTACATCCATTTATGTTTCTCATTTATTACTCCGTCTAATTTGAAATATTATTTTCTATTTCGGTGAACAGCGTTATGCATTTCATACATACAATAGCTCGAGGGCAGTTTGTTATTCACACAGGTGTAATATCTTTGATGCATATAATATGATAATAATAGTTGTTTCAAAACCCGTTAGAAAGTCATTGTTTAGAGTGAAACTGTCAATATTTTAATTTGTTATTTTGACATTACTAATATTCAGAACGGGCGAGTCTATTCACGACCACGGCTCATTCGTTTCACCAACGATCCTAACGAAGTCAGTGCTGTTATTTTAGAAATTTTCGTTGCTAATTTTTAGCTTCCAGATTGTGTATCATATCATTTGAATTTTGATCATAACGACATGTAGTAATATAAGAATATATAATGTCAAATTATTACAAAACAATGCACGAGTGTTTAATATGAATAACTTTATAGCTTCGCACTGTGTTGGTACATCATGTGAAAAAGAAGTTATTGAATTTGTAAATATGTTACATAAATTCCCAAGCGGATAAACACGGCATTATACAAGCAATTACTTGAACGACCGTGTCATTTGCATGCTCTTTTGAAATGTACATGATGCTAAATTTTGATACATTTCTGAATCACTACAAGGACTAGCAACAACCAATGAAATATAGCTGATCAATGTCAAGAATTCTTTGAATTCTCCACGACAAAATTCTCCAGATAGCCACCGCGTTATCCAGATATAGTAGAACCAGTTATTCGTACTTTTTCCACCATTTGGATAATATTATTAACGACTATCTTTAATATTAAATGCATCCCTTGTTATGAATATTTCAAGCAATACGATAATTAATTTATATGCACGTTGTCCCGTTTGATAAGCATTCAAAATATCTCGTGTTTTAATTTATTAATTTTTATACATATCGTTTTTCTGACATTTTATCCGAAAAGAATAACAATCAGAATTTAAACGACTAATGCTTATTCATCTAAAAATTACATTCTACTGTTTTGTCATTCATATTAAATTTGTTCTATAAGTATTCAGGAAAATATGCAAATAGAAACACGTTATGTTTGAGGTTTAATTCAAAAAGTAATTCTGCGTCAATTTTGCCCCAAAGTGTATTTGAAAAATTGTCTGAAATATTTCAAATGAATTTGGTAAAATTTGGATCATCAAAATATGTAAACAAATTAAGTTCTGTGAAATGGACATAATCTGTTTCGTTAGAAACCGGATATCAAATAATAATGGTTGTGAATACAACCAAACATTACACGATGTAACACACTGAGACGATGAATAACAAACTGCAACATCACTGGGTGTATAGACACCACGAACATACCTTAAATTACCATCATTGTAAATTCATGTAGCCGATGACAGATGCACATGACTCAAGCTTACGGTGTTGTAAATTTCATATATAGTACCTCGATGCTTGTTACACGAAACGAAATGCTGCAGTGATACGGCAATGTTGTAAATTTCATGTCAATAGCGAGAGCTATTATGTCAATATATCTGTCACTGTCCTCGCCTATTGCCAATCTTATTTACAACGTTAGTCTTACATTCTCTCCTGCCACGTGAGAATTACGACCTTTCCCTGTTTTCCTTGTTTACAGAATTGTCTTCATAATTTTTCACAGTCCTGCTCGTATTTCCCTTGCATATTTCACCCCTTTTCAACTTCCATTTCCTGGTTAACAATTGCTCTATATCCTTTGTAATCATAGAGATTAATTATCAGAATGTATGAGTGGAATTACTATAAAATGATGAAATATGTTGGGATTACACAGGGTCTAACGCACGGAAAATCCATATATCAAACTTAACACATTAAGCCACTTATATGAAATTGTTGCAGAGTAAAATTTGAATAATTATATAGAGTAAGAGGATAAGAGGATTTCGATTGCATTTACAAATTGCATAAAATGAGCTCGTTGCAATTTTACTCCATTTCGTTAACCTTTGAAAACATGGAAATGCGTTAGCTTTAAATTCGACATTTTAATGTTGTTAATACGTATGTAACGGGTTGCGACATTTTGTAAACAAGCGATGTTAATTTTAGCCTTTCCTTTACGATTTCATATGTACCCGTGAGTTTTGTAAACAAGGATTCGATTAGAACCAGAGCTAACACCGATCTAGTTCTAGTCAGGTAGGCAGTCGCTTCATGTATCTGAAAAATATCGGAAACTCTTAATATTTCGCGAAACATTTTCAGCTTCATTGACACATAGATGTATGATCGTCTTAAGAATGAACCAAATGGAAACTGATCGCGCTCGGTTTAAAATTAGCGTCTTCAGTAAAACGTTAAAAAATCTGAAATCAACCTCACGTATTTCCATGGTAACGGAATTAATCAAGGGAATTACGTGACATAATTTTCTAGGAAGCGAACACAGATTGAAAGGGGTATCTTCACGAAAGGTACTGCAGAGTATCGTGCGCTGTACAAGCCGTGCTTTCCATCACACGCATCATACCAACAGATTTGTTTCAAGTCTAATAGCCACGACTTGCAGCCAAGCTGATCCACTATCTCTCACGTAAGCATCGACGTTATTTGATGAAAAACATGCAAAAACATAGACCAAATTAATATCCGCATTTTGTGGCGAGTTACAAAATTGCATCTAAACTGACTCGACCAAATTGTTTGTTTTTTCGTCCAAACATTCCTTCATATTCTTTTACAAGTTAAACAAGCCATGTGGTTTTGATATGCCATGGATATCCTCTGTATACGGAGAGACACAGCAAGGGAAGTTACACGCAAGGTTGTGTACAGGCAGCAACAAAACAACATATCTCAACACGCTTCGCCGCTTCAAATATACGTTACTTGTAGTGTCTCTGGCCAACCATCGGTCAAACCGACCAAGCATTGGTCCAGCTCTGGCAACCCGTGTCCAAGCTATGAACGATATGAGAACGATCTCCCCCCAAAAGCTTATTTTGGTTAGCCCAGCTGAGTGGAAGGTCGCCCGCCTCGGCAGCTCGGCCGTAATGAATATAACGCTGAATTGAGGGAGTGATTCGGCTACCAGCCGTCGTCAGTTGTAACGTGCGCGGTGATTGGCTGGAAGTCGACAGCGTGTATCACTCTTCATGCAAATGATTTATTTTAGCCGACAGTCACCGCGAAGTCCCACAAATCACACTATTCGGATAGGTCATGTAGTAGGAATTGTCTTTCTATCATATATCCACAAAAATGAATTCATACTTCACATCCCCGTTTCTTCCTCAATATTCTTCGGACAGCCATTACGTTCCTAACAGTTATGCTTCTAATGGCTATGGACTGTATTCATCAAGGCTGGGCGATCAGCTATCTTATCACTCCGGAGGATATGGAAGTGCCGATCACGGTTCCCTTCACTACTATAACCAACAGAAAGCGTCCAATCTCCAGTACCCAAGTGCTGCGGAAAACGGGTACGAAAACAAGCAGACGACATATCAACAACACCAAGCTCATGTAGCAGACGACACGAACGTGCCCCGGAATTTTCCAGTCGGGGAACATATCCTCAACATCAACCCCACCAGAACGTCGACTGGGGGCATCATCAGAACGTATCCACCCCATCTCCGAACCGAAACCAACAAGGGAGCCCCTACACTCCTCCACTTGAGGGAAAACCCGTAACATCATGTTCTCTGTCCCCGAAAGATTCGGACTCCGATCTCCAAGGAAAGAACTCCGAAGCGTCTGCTCCCTTCTACCCCTGGATGGGGATTGTAGGTAAGTGGTGCAAACCCCTAAACTCTCCTTCTCTTTCACTGTCTAGTTATGTCCTTCTGCTCGCACCCAAGATTGTTCCTATTCGCGATAACGACGCATAAAAGAAGACCGTACCTTTTTAATATTCCTCAACGCGGCACTAAATTCATTTTACGAGACCATTCACTAGGCGAAGAAGCGTCTATACCAGAGACTCGCTTCGAACACTAAATCTTCTTCCTTCTGTAAAACATACGGACCTTGGGTGCATTATGAGCTGTAAAACACCACTAAATATTATAATTAAACGCTACATTATGACCATGCTTCGTAGGCAATAGCGCACTAGCATTGTAAAACCATATCTTTTTTATTGGCAGTGCTCTACATCGTGTGGACGAATCCTTTAACCAATCCCACTAGCAATAAGAAACTTAATACTTTACAATAACTTGAATGAATTGCCGTGAATTTTATGTGTGTCTGTCTTTAATGCTCTTATTTTATGGCTTCTCCTAAACAAACCCCCTTACCGCTCTCAACTCAGACTTGGCTGCAGGGTGTTTTGCCTATGTTTTTGTTATGCTCATATTCCGTATGACTAAATTCGAATATCTGCAACGATTTTCACACATTTCTATCAATTCTGTGTCTTCAAATGTTAGGTTTTCGATCGAGGTGAGTCACGTGATATGTTACTGATCATAAACATTTAAAACTGTCTCTGGTGAAAAACAATCTCCTGTTAGTTCAAATTCCCTTGCTTGTAAAATGCCGTGGAGTTTTGAGTGAATAGACATGAATTCGAATTTATTGTTTACAATTTTGATATCGTGTAATGTATCCTACTGAATCGAATTTACAATTCATGTGTGATCACTGGTATACGTTGTATGGGTATTGATAAACAATATATTTTATACATTGGGAGAAATCTAAAAATAATGGCTTTACCTGCCAAGCTGTACCAACTTCATTCTTGATTATAACAACGGAACTGCGTGTGGGTTTGAAACTAGCATATTTCATTCGATGTCAATATACCTGAACAAGTGGTATAATTTTATTTGTAATAAGATAATGATATCCTCAAACTCACATCGAGCGTTTGTGTTTACATTGTTAAATATCAGCTGTATATATAGCGAGACAGGAATATAATTGTTGTCAATTTCACGCTGGTGTATATCGCCATACTGCTTCACAAAGTAAACTCATGTATCAACAACCCAAACAATAAGCTATTTCACTATATAATAGAGTCATAAATCATATCAAATGTCATTGTCATAAATACCGTCAATTGCAAATATTGATACCGCCAAGCTACGTCCTTCCAGGCAGGTCTGCGTTAGGGAATAGGTCAGCTTTACGATGAAACATACAATAAATAATGCGTTCATATTTCACAGCATTAATGTACTCATTAAATTTAATTTGAATGCCATTTTTAAAATTTGAGTTAAAATATTTAAAATTTAACTAGATATGTTCAATATTAAACAACGTACAAAAGGTATTATAATCAGATATACCCCATGGTAAATCTTTTTCTCTTATTATGTACACAAGCACATTGCAAAGAATAATCTGGTAGTGTATATGGAAAGCGAATTGTTAACCTTGTATTATGTTGATGTTACTCTTGAAAATAATTGTTGATGAAAACCACATGGAGAATGGGGGAGGGTGTGTGTTTGTTTCTGATTATTTAGAATAATTGTTTGCAGATGGACACAAATCTTGGAAATGTTATCTGGTTCTGTTATCTTGGGTGAGGCATTTATTGCCTACAGTGTCAGTAGCAATTTTAAAAATGTATACAAAGTTAAATGGAAGAATTAACCCGTAAACACATGTCCAAATCCACGGAATAAAAATAAAATGAATTCTAAAAGGGTTAAAACTTATAATAAATCGTTCTATCACAGTGAAGTAGTAGATTTTTATTTTCATTTCAACACCACAGGTTTAATAATTGTAATTGCAGTTATGTTTACTGAGATCAGTGAATAACATCTATTAAACACCATGGGTTGTACATCGCAGAGTCGCCCAGTAAGTCTTAATGATGAATTTGTTTGTATTACAGTTGCTTACAAATGAACTGTTCGTCTCATTAAGCTTTCTGAAGTGGCTACTCTAAACAAGGTCGATATGGACACAGCAACTAGACTGGTTAATGTATCATTAATCAATAACTCATAATATCTCTATTAATGTATAAATGTATCTGCAAGCCTGGACGAGAGGTTTTCATGGCCTGTAAATCAATAACTGACATAGACACAGGAAAAACAACATCTATGGTGCAATGCCAGGCAGATTTAATTGAATGTTCACGCATTTTTAGTGGCATTTAACTAAAGGTAAATAATTGACAATACACCACATTACACACAGAAGACCTGCTTACAGTTACAAACCACTGTTGTTTCCTGAACGTGTGTTAATTTCCGGACTATTCTGAAAACGGTTAGTTGTGTAGTGTTATATTGTGAAATCTACACATGTAGATTTCAGTGTAAGTTATTCGGTGCGATGCCTTTTAGGTGTTTGGTGTGAACTACATACCCTTTGTGATATCATGGGATATCATGGCATACACTATAAACACACAATGACGAAACAGGATATCTGGTTGGGTTTCAGGGGCAACAATAGCGCTGATACTGAAAATCACATGCGAACTACATCGAAGAAGGGTTCCAAACACACTCACATGACCCCATTTCGTTAAACAATTTTTCGAACAATTCAAACGATTTCAATACCCATTCATCTCCTTTGTTCTTTCAAAATTCATAAAAAATAATAATTAGCGCATGAATATGTCGAAATGTTAAGAAATGTTTATGCTTGAGTAGCACAGTCAAATATTATTCACAGATATTTCGTACCTTTTGGACAGCAATATTTCACGTGGTATATTGAGCATGATATGCATCAATAATTATATTTGAAATTTCAAATATATTCTGTATAAGTATGGATTGTGTCTGAAAAAAACCTTAACATTTTATTAAACATATGTAGATCGTGAGTGTATTGCATTTCATTTGTGCATGTTATTTGATTGTAACATTCCAACGCGGACATAACATGGTCGATCTTCTATCCATGTTTACAATTATTTCATGTTGTAAATCCAAAGTTAGTCATATCATTTTATGTAATGTACACCCAACGACAGGCTATATTTATATCACGTGTCATATGTCTTCCGACGGGTCCATTTCAGCCGTGACCACTCATCCCCGCTGGACAGTAATTGTTACAAATCAGGGCTATGTACAATAACCATGTATACAGTGTGATCGCCTCCCTCGTTCGGACATTACATCAGACTGGTCACTATGTCCACCTAAATAACGCTGTTCACAACAGATGACACATTAGGGGTCAGTTTGTCACACAGTGACCACGCCTGACCAGTGCCTGTCTGGATCCTAAGACCACCACCTGTAATAAATTAACCGGATTTAAACCTAACATTGAAGCTCGTGACATTAATTTCAGCCCTTATCGGTCGATTGATTCTGTTTCGTGTCTGGGGTTTGGTTGTTATTGCAGACAACCCCAGCCGATATAACAGAAGCCTGGTTCAGCTATTGTGCGTGATGTACAAGCTAACCTGTGTCAAATATCTGCCGAATGGATTAATTTTAATAGCCGTTACTGTTTCAGGTCGGGGAGGCGATAAATGTTATATATAATTCATCAAAGGGGATGTACACACAATCAGAGTTCACACAGATGCTTTGGGAACAGAATAAATCTCAACAGATGTGGATTTCATGCAATATATCACATATACATGGATCATTCACATATTCTGAAACTGCATAAACAGACTTATTGCAAGTATTTGGGAAACATACACTAAACTATAGGAATATATAACATTATACATTGGTTGAAATACACACCACAAGTGAAATATACATGGTTTAATGCACTTTGATTTTAGATGCTCATATACATGAGATACAGATGTTCACTGCGTTGTAAATGTCACTAACTGTACATTTCTGTACAACAAAACTTTAGGAACATATAACACGACATATAATACCTTGGTTGAAATACACACCACAGGTGAAACATACCTCTTTTAATATACTTCGATTTGAGATTTTCTTGCGAATGTGATATAGATGTCCATTGCGTTGTAAATTTCACAAACCTAATCAATTTCAAATGGTACATACATTAAACACACAGACAGATTTCAAAACCTTCAAAAGAAGAAGCTTTCGTTTACTATGAGCCTGAAACGCAGGACACATCATTCACAAATGAATAAAACATGCATTACCATCACTGATCGATTTCAGAAACAGATTAGCTGCTGGATAAGCATAGCATTGTCCTTGCCATTTAATCATATTTGTTATCACGATTCGTGACTGACAAGTGCAAATAACAATTCGATAACAACCTGGCTTTCACATCCACAGAGGGTAAATCTACATTCTATATCGAGTTCAGACAGTGAGAACTTAGGTGAAGAAAGGCTCATTATTTATCGTCTTTACGGTGCAGTTGTAAGTTTCACTTTATGCCCTTCATCAATAATGCACTATAGATCCCTGCACTGATTCCGCACGAAGGAGATTCAGAGCTTCCCCTTAGCCGCTGTTTCAGAAACAGGAGATAAGGGAAAAAAAGCTACAAAAAACTAATGAAGATCAAAAGTGATTGTGTTACTTTTTAACTCGTTTGATTTACAACATGATATTTACATGCCTATTCAAACAAGCAAGATTGAGTATAGATATCTATAAGGCATATAAGGAACGTTAAAACCGTATGTGAATGTGTGATGGTGTTCCACACATTATTGCATTGCTTACTGTAAATGTCGACGCCTACAATGTGATCTGAATCGAACTGATATGTCGCTATGAAATATGATCACTGCGAAGAATCATTAAATTACAATTATTCACAATATCACATATCACATCAGGCCTGACAGCACCTCTGACCCTATTCACAAGTTTACAAAATCATTAATG